GGGGGGGGGGGGGTGGGTGGGGGGGGGGAGAAGTTAAACAGTAATTTTTCTTAATTCAACTTTTAAAATTAACAGCATGGCAGCTGTTCTCAACGTTTCTCTCATGCCGCGACCCTTTAATACAGTTCCTCATATTCTGGCGACCCCCAACCACAAAATTATTTTCGTTGCTTCTTCATTACCTCAGGGTATATGTTTTTTCCGATGGTCTTAGGCGACCCCTGGGAAAGGGTCATTTGACCCCCCAAAAGGGGTCGCGACCCACAGATGGAGAACCACTGACCTCAGACAAAATATTTGGACAACAATTTCTTAAAAATATAAAACACCAAAAGTTGCTGCCTGAAGAAAACATAAAAAATAAATTAATTAAAATTTCTCTTACCAAACCAGCTGGTCCTTTGGGTTTGACTGGCTTTGGGGGCAAGGGCTTTTCATAAACCTCAGCTGCATCTTTCTCAACAGTTCCAACTTCAGGGCCCTTTCCATCCCCATTAACCTAGGGGAAATAAGGAAAAATAGTCTTCATAAAAAACCTATTCGGAAATATTTATGAAAGGCTGAAGCCAACATATCATTTTTTTTTACGGTCGTCATCTGTTTGACTAAAGATCTTCACTAAAGACACATAAATATGAGATAAATTAGGCTGACAAGAATTGGGGTGATATTTTTTAATAAACCACTACAGTGGCTTATATCAAGGAGTCGGTAAATTTAACTGTAAAGTGATCTGTAAAGTTATCAAAACGATGCCGCGTTGAAGGGTGAGACAGCGACAATTGTCAACAAAAATGGAGTGGTGGGGGGAAAAAAAAGAGTCATTTCCAAAATTGTGTACCCGGTACTTCATTACTTTGATGACAGTTTTAAGGGGAAATACTTTTTGCAAGTTTAACCTACTTATATTCACTTTCCTAGTTTGCATACATGAGTCAAGTTATGTAACATGACAGTGTTATGGTTGCTCATAAATTAAAGTAATACAGAACGATGGTTGAAATACAATTTAAAAGAGTATTTATCAGTACATTATCAAACTCCCATCAACATGCCAGTACCAACCTCTTCATCGCTAAACTCTGAGCCCCAGTCAAAGCTGTCTTCATTCTGTCCATCAGATTCAGATGCTACATCATCAAACTCATCCTCTGGCTCTTGAGGAACTGTTTCACCTATGAGAAGACAGCGTCATTTCATAAGGCGACAACAACCAAAATTAGAAAAAAAAAAAATTTGTTTAAAAACTGTAATCATCTATGTCCAACAACTAGTTATATAGCTTTCTTTATTAAAATATTTTGTTTTGAAAAAAATCACCATGGATTCCCAAATGCAGAGTATTTCTTAAAAGAAACTTCAATAGTCCCTGTGGCATCTATTGGTCACATTGCAGAGTTAAACTTAAATCAGAGCCATATTGTACAATATTTTAATGAAAACCTTAATACACAAGATCACCCTTTCCCTTACAGAGGGTTCATGTAACAATATTTTAAGTCTTGGGGAGCTAGTCAGAGGGTTCATGTAACAATATTTTAAGTCTTGGGGAGCTAGTCAGAGGGTTCATGTAACAATATTTTAAGTCTTGGGGAACTAGTCAGAGAGTTCAAGTAATGATATGTTAAGTCTCGGAGAACTAGTCAGAGGGTTCTAGTAATATGTTAAGTCTTGGCGAACTAGTCAGAGAGTTCATGTAGTTATTTTAAGTCTTTGTGAACTAGTCATGTTGCCTCCAAACCATAATTATTGAAATTGCGCCAATTTTATTTTCAGCTTAAGTTCTACAGTATGCAATCATGTTATTGCTGAAACTGAGAAGATTAAAGCAATGTAAGATATAAAGGAGCCTGCACAAATATTTGTAATACTCCGTGCAACCTGAAGCTGACTTTCTGTATCATAGATACTCATAAATTCAAGACCAGCCTCATTTTTTTTTTTTTTTTTTTTTTTTTTTTCCTCTCTTTTTTTTTTTTTTTTTTTTTTTTTTTTTTTAACCCACCCATCTTTGAAAAAAAAAAACTGAGTGAATTTAACTTAAAACTGAAAATGCAACCCATCTCAGGTTGACTGTTTACCTGCAGGAGCTGCATTCCCTACATCACTGAAGCCTCTGGCCTTCAGTTTTTCAATTTCAATTTCAGTGAGCTGGTTCTCTGTGCTCTTGTGAAAGATTTCATTGTAATCAGAATATTCATTAGTTAATACCTCTGTTGACTGGGAGGACTTTAGAAAATTGACAGGAACCTGATAAAAAATTGTTTTTGTTAATCATTTTATCAAGAAGACGTAACAGGAAAGCCCTTTTTTTTAAAATGTCTTCTTCTACGGGGGCTGCCGTTCTCATTGATGCACCTTTATTATCGCTATTTATATTCACTCCCTGAGCTGAGCTTCACTATGCGCTTTCATCCAAATGCATTTGGACAGATCCCAACTTTTAAAGTTCAAAACAACACAAAGCCCACTCAGTGATTCTAATACCTTTGCAGGTCTAACTGCACAAAGAAAAGACAGAAAAGACGTCCGCTGTGACAAAGTCCAATGACTCCAACATAATTCATGATATTTCTCAACTACCGCTGTGACAATGTCCAATGACTCCAACATAATTCATGATATTTCTCAACTACCACTGTGACAATGTCCAATGACTCCAACATAATTCATGATATTTCTCAACTAAACAAAACTACCTTTAAAAAAAACTGTTTCTATTTTTAAACTGATCTGTCAATAATAAATTGTGAGCAATCACATCTATGTGAAATCAGTCATAAATTTAATTGCAAACACTTTTAAATAAACTAGCATTTTATTTTTTTTTTTAATTTTAAACACTTTTAAATAAACTAGCATTTATATATTTTAATTTTAAACACATTTAAATAAATTAACATTTATATCTTTTTTAATTTTAAACACTTTTAAATAAATTAACATTTATATCTAGACAAACATAAAGTTGCATTGATATCATTTCTCAGACAAACACAACTGTTTTTAATTTATTTGAGTTTTTGTTTTCTTAATCTTCCATTTAAAAAAAAAAAATTATATAATTATGTCTGCATGAAATTGTAAAATTAACAACAAAAAAACACCATCAATCTTCATTAGCCCTAAATTTCTCTGCCCAAATCAGTGATCACGAATATTAAATAACATAGAAATATCAGTAACTTCAATCTTCATTAGCCCTAAATTTCTCTGCACAAATCAGTGATCACAAATATTAACTAACACAGTACTTACTGGAGCACCTGTTCCTTCCTGGCAACCTCTGTTTCCTAAGGAAACTGTTGATCTCAGGGAATCATTTTTTCTGCTCCGCAATTTAGACTGCGCCTTTTGTCCTTTAACAAGAGTTTCAGGATGTTTGTGTTTCTTAGTTGCTTCACCGGCAGCTTCGTTAGTGGAACTCTCCACCGCCACAGCGCCATCATTCTTTGTTGTGCTGCCTTCTTGCCCCTGTTCAGAACCAACCTCTTTGGTCGAGTTTAACTTTAGATCAGAAATCCAGTAAAGACCAGTATCTGGGCCAGAGGTTGAATTGGACCTGCTCAGTTTATCATGGCTTTCTGCGGAAGGTTGGTTGGCGGAAAAGCATAATAATCTATCACAATTATTTACTGTCTTTGTGCCTCATGGATCCTATCAATATTAAAGCTCCATACAGACAGAGTATCATGAGACATAGCAATAGTGCACTGAGCCAATCTTGTCTATACTTATTTAGTTGGGATTTTTAATTTTTTTTATAAATGAATAATGAAAAAAAATGTAAGCAAATTCCTACTCAAGGATGTGACCACGTGCTGTTGGTTTTAGGCTTTAAAATTATATTTCTATATTAAACAGTGGTGATTTTATTCTTGATTTAATTTAAATACCTCCTTTAGGACTACTTCCATCACTGTGTCTGGCTTTATTGAAGATGCCTCCCAGAGACTTCATGAAAGAATTCCTCTTTTTTAAGTCAGATTTTCCTTTCTTCTCTTTGCCATCTCTGACTATGACCACATTTTGATTACTGCCCCCATCGTCCATCTCCACAGTGTCATAGCTTGAATGATGGGCCTCCTTTTCCAGCTCAAAGTAAATCTGTGATTGGCTGTCGGACTGGTGCGAGTCAGGAACTGTGTCAGGAATTTCAAAAGGATTGGTTTCTGAAAACAAAACAGCAGAGCCCAATAAAACAAAGGTCATACAGAATTTTAAATAAATTACAGCTGCTCTCATTAACTTATGAAACCCCATTTCATAGTGATCATTGACAATCACATTTTAAATAAACAATAAAAATTACAATACAAATGAACTTTGATGTACAATAGGACTTCCTTTCACTTTTATTTAACAATAAATGTCTCTTTTTTTTAAACAAAATTTTCTTTGTTTTCTTGTGTTGAAAAAAAAAAAAAAACCTACTCTATGGAATCAACAAATTTGGAAATGATACAAAATGTTTAATTTACTCAGCACAAAAAAATAGTTTTAACTGAAACCACATTTATCATTGTAAGTTTGCTAAACCACATCTTCACATGTTAAACCTCGTAAAAGTGTTGTGAGTATTTCTCAAGTGTGTGTCAATAATTCTTAAAACCGCCAGTCTCGCTCCACATCCGGGACAATGATGCTAAGCTGACTGTGATTTAACCACCACTGTGTTAACTCAACCCAACCCAAGTATACTCATTTTAGGGTTGAAGCCCTGAAGTGGAAGAAAATTTCCCTTCCCTGAAAACTCAGTCACTTGGACTACTAACCAGGTCAAAGTGGATTCCCTAATGACGAGAGTGCACTTAATATGACATGACCTCATTCTGAAAACTGACACGGCGAAGTAGTGACATTGTTCACAGCGTTAATGCTCAGCATAACATAAACTATTAAGATGTTAAAGAATGGAGAGGATTGCAGCGACAGGTCTGGGGAGCTTTTTTTTTTTTTACAGGAGTGCTTATTAAATGATACAGTTGTTTCACGCTCTTTAGACTGCTTAATACTTTCATTGTATGAAAAAGATTTTGATAGCTTCCATGTTTAACGTAAAGATTCCTGCTTATGAACGTTTAATGCAAAAATTGAAAATAATTTAGGCACGGNGACCATCAATTCAGAAGCAACGGGGAGAGAACAAAAAGTATAAACAACTTTTGCAACTTATTAAAAAATAAAGGCAACTAGTACATAGATGTGGGTATAAATTGAAAACTGTACTTCCAGTTCTGATACATGCCACTGAATCGACCAGAACTAGTTAAATCATGACATCCAATAAATTTTGTTTATTTTCCTATGTAAAAAAAAAAAATGACATTCCTCATTCTTTTTTTTTTAAAAGGGTTGAAATAAGTTTATAGACAGACATTTTATTTGGCTTGTGTTAATTTTAATGGTAGGCCCTGCTTGAGAAATGATAAGAAGTATTTTCCACATGTCTTGTGATGTGACTTGGAGCAAATTTCATCCAAATTGTTAAAATTTGGATCTTGCATTTGTTTTCATTTATTTATTTTTACTTTAACTTTCTTTCAGGCTTCTTCAGTCAGCTTTGGTCTGGGTATGTATTTATTATCAATGTAATTAATGAACTGACAAAACTGACAACAACTTAATTATCGACTTTGATTAGAGTGTCAGTGTGTCAAAATTTCTCCAAAATCATTAATACTTTTGTTCGAAATGAGAAACCGAAGATCATCTTTTGCACAATTCCAATTCTTTATATATCTAATACTTGAAAATAACTTTTAAAAATTGGTTCGAAATGAGAAACCGAAGATCATCTTTTGCACAATTCCAATTCTTTATGTATCTAATACTTAAAAATAACTTGCCTTTGTGGTACTTGGTGAATGTATAAACTAATTTTAAAACAACTTTGATGGCAGTGCGTGTCCCATGTGTTTCTTGTAAAGCATATTTTACTAGACTTTTTGTCATTTAATATTGCCAGGTTTTATATTTTAAATTGCATTTTAAATAGCTGTAACATCATTGAGTGTTTTTTTTATCATAGGGTAAAACTCACCCAGAAATCATGTGGCATATGAATGCAGATAATGAATTGGCGAGTATGTAAAATTGGGCAATGATCTTAGATTGTTCAAATAAGGAGCTTGTACAAGTCTATTCTCTGTGGACGCTTATATAATTTGAGAAACATAATGATATTCTTTGTTTAGTGAATTATTACTGACTGGCTATTTCAAATTGATTCTGTGAATCGGAACTGTATTATACATTTATCAAGTATTATATGTGATTTTATCGAAATAACAAAGTGATCAGTGTGAAGGCCTTGACTTGACACATTGATTTAGCAAGCTGTGGTGTTTGTGACAGTAATATAAATAGCTCGGGCCCAAAGAGAAGAAAAGAGTTATGAATGACAGAAGCTAAATTGGTGTCAAAAGTTGCAAAAGCCGGAAGGGTAACTCATCATTGTAAGAATTTAATGCCACCCATAGAATTGTGATCAATTTTAATTAAATGTTAATTTTCATCTATTTTGTTTGGACTAAAATAGATATCCAAATTTTTAAAAACTTGTTGTTGGCTATCAAGGATATTTTTTTATAACCCCCTCAAAAAATTACTGATTAAATAAATAAAATTCTCAATTTATTAATCCCAATTGCTGTCATTTTTCTCATAGATTTTTTTAAATTAGAAAACCATAAACTATATGACTATATTGTTAGAAAAAGAGTTTGAAGTCTGGGCATTTTACAAATCAAAGTCCCCAAGAAATGAAACCTATGCCACAAATTAGTGAAGCAAGGGAAGTGATAATAACTGGGAAAATTGATATATGGAAATGTGTTACCTTAGATGTCACTTGAAAATAATTAAATGTCTATGTAATTTACGTCTGCACCAGAAGTATGAAAATTATAAAAGGAAGCAAAAATTTATAAGAATTTGCTCACCACAATTGCTCACCAATATAATGACTTTGAGATTTTTTTTTTCTTTCTGAATAACACCTTTTAAATGATGTGAACTAATTTTAAATGAAATCCGGAGAATATATTTAAGTTTTATATATTTCTGCTTTGACTAAGAATCAGTTTTCTTTAGTTTACATGATCTATTACAGGCTAAAGATAAATACCTTTATTAATGTAAGCAAAATGAGTTTTAAATTGTCTTAATTTTCGGTAAGAAAAATGACAGGAGAAAGGTTATGAGCCAAATATTAATAATTCATCATTTTAAAATTAAAATTATAAGAGTAAAAAACAAATGCTTATCAATCCATTGAAACTTTTTTTTTAATGGTACAGATTAAAAAAATTATTTCCCAAAAATAACACATTGCGTGAGTAACAGTAACAAGTAATTCTCAGCTCCACCCATATATTATTATGTAAAGACAAAGTATGGAAGTTTCCCCAATTCAACAAATTACACCTGGTCCGGTAGACATGTTGACATCTGGAGAGTCTCCCATTACCTGAGGTGCTGATGGTACAGTTGCACAGGTGAGCCTAAATCAATCCATGACTTGACTCAAGTGGTCACAAAATGACACTAACCTGTGAATTTTTACATCATTTGTATTTAAACAGTGGGACCTTGGCCTTGAGAGCAGGAAAGAAAAGGTATAGCTTAAAGAACAAGAATGCCTAAGCCTAAGACTGAGTAAGAGATGAACAGAGAATGAGACACAGAGAAAGACTGAGAAAGAACATAAATGATAAATGTGCTATGATTTTTTAAAAAGGGCTATCCTTAAACAATGTCACACATGGAGTTTGGGGGGGGGGGGGGGGGTTTGGTCTAATCTGAGTTACAATTTCATTATGGACTGCCCTTAAATTAGGGAGATCAATTAAAACTTAAATGAATAGTAAAAGAGAAATTGTAGTACACTAAGTTTAAATATTTTATTCCTTTCACTTTCATTTTCATGTAAAATACATAATAATAGTTTAGGCTGGTACTGACTGGTATGGCTAGCCTAGCTAAACTACTAACAAAGACACAAATTGTTACAGGCCACTAGTCTTGACTATAAATTTTAAAACTATACGACTCTATTGTTTAGTAGTGTACTATTTTATTTTATTATTAGTAGTCCTTGTGTAGTTTTACATACATAGTAACTTAGTGAATTTAGTGTTAGTCAATGAGCTATACTTACACTATTTAAATTTAATATTTTAATATTTTTTACAACTGACCTATTGTAATTATTATTATTATTATGCATTTGGGCTTTATGAATATGAATGTGGTTATGATGTTCTCTTACTTACGAAGCACACTTGCCACTGACTGATTGAGAAAGAAAAGTTCGGCCTACCAAAGTTTGTTTGCCTTTAACTTTTAACTCTCAGCTCTAAGGCTAAGGTGGTACTAAAATATATTTACCTGTAGGCCTTGTATGCTTACTTCCTGTTTTGGTGTAATATATCTCTATCAACCCGTTTTTCGTCTTTCACTTTCATAGACATCCGACAAAAAATATCCGAAACAGCGGAGTTTATAACTTTTCCTTCGACCAGGCAGGAGAAATAAAAGATAAATGCTTTACCTGTAAAAGTTGAAATTAAAAGC